TAGTAAATATATATATAGTAAATATATATATAGTAAATATATATATATATATTTAGTATATAATTTCTTTACTAACTACCAAAGTAACTCAGATTAGAAATAACTTATCAACTTTGAAAATTTGATTATCTTAATATTGGACATTTAAGTTCAGTCGATGATGTTACAGTCTTTCCTTTGTCAGTGTTGTTTAATATAAGGAGCACAGACCCCTAAGTTGAACAGATGTGGATTTGAATCCTAGTCTATCATGGTTCTGTCGAACATTAGGAATACTATTTCTCTTAGTATCCAGTGCAAGAATAGTTAGATGGAACAGTGCCTAATTTGATGCTGTCAACATCTTATCCCAAATTGGCTGCTGGTTTTAGTTCTGCTCAATGAGTAACCGTGTGCCTAGAATTAGTATGTATCAGAATTTTTTGTCCACAGAAGCTTAATTAACTACCTTCAGTAAAGTCAAAGTCTAATTTCTTGTTTTCCTTGAATGTTAGGCATAATGGCAGTGGTTGCCAATAGAATTTGAAGATCCTTTTTCTGAGAAATTAAAAGGTTTTGGGTGTGATAGAGCTGATTATTGAGTCTACTTGTTGAATAACCAATGGTGGTGGTCTTAGCCTCTGAGCATTTAAAAGTTGGTGATTTAGGTTTCAGGTTAAGTCCTAAAATAAAATTTCCCCCCTTTTCCTCCAGTTTGCCACCTATAGTTGCTCATTTGTTTTTCTCCTGCATATCTGTGTCTGCCACATGCCCTGAAGGATGGCCCTTGTTGTCCCTGCGACAGATGACAGACTTCATTTCTCTGAACTTTGAACTGTTCTTTATGCATTCTTTTTATTCTAGAATCAGCTGTGTGGTGCATACACCTCTGGTCCGATTCTCAAATGCCATTTTGAGACGGACCTTTTGCTAAGAGTACCTCTAGCTTAATGTGTTGTTACTCACCCAGTAGGATTTACGTCTCAACAGTGAATCTTTGAGGACCAGTAATTAAATCCCAAGAGTGAATTTCTACTGCACACACAGTTGGTGTGTGTGCATGTTGGTATATTCATTTAGGAAGGTGGTTTGTCATTTTTCTGTAAAGTTGAAGATCTGGCACTTGTACCGTGGGAAGGCACTCTCGAGAAGCTATGGCGCCAATGCACACACCAGGAGACGTGTGTGTGCATTCATAGCAGTGCTGGTCAGAAGAGCCACGTGAGGGGCGCCTGGGTGGCGCAGTCGGTTAAACGTCCGACTTCAGCCAGGTCACGATCTCGCGGTCCGTGAGTTCGAGCCCCGCGTCAGGCTCTGGGCTGATGGCTCAGAGCCTGGAGCCTGTTTCCGATTCTGTGTCTCCCTCTCTCTCTGCCCCTCCCCTGTTCATGCTCTGTCTCTCTCTGTCCCAAAAATAAATAAACGTTGAAAAAAAAAAAAAGCCACGTGAAAGCAACTCAACTGTCTACTAATGGTGGAATGAATACATAAGTCAGTGGATGAGCTGCTCAAACATACTGTGAAGTAAAAGGAACACTACATAGCCACAAAATACCTCCGTACGATTCTACTTACATAAATTTCACACGCAAGAAAAAAGCAAGCTGTTATTTAGGGATGCGTATTTGAATGGTAAAATGGAAACCAAGGAAACGGTTATGGTACAAATCAGGATCGTGTTCCCCTCTAGTAGAGGGGTGAGGGGTAATGATTGGGTAGGGGCATGCAGCAGGTGTGGGTGTTGGGGGGACTTCCTGATGTTGATGCTGATCTATTTTTTGACCTGAATAATGTTTACTTATATTCATTGGATAATAATAATCATCATCATCATCATCATCATCATCCTTCTCCTCCTCCTCCTCTTCGTTCTCCATTAATTTATTCATTTTTAGAGGGGGAAAGAGAATCCCAAGCAGTCTCTGCGCTGCCAGCACAGAGCCCCACACAGGGCTCAGTCTCACAAACCCTGAAATCATGACCTGAGCCAAAATCAAAAGTCAGATGCTCACCTGACTGAGCCACCCAGGCACCCTGAATAATTATTCTTTAAATCTTACCCATTCTTTTATGTGTCTCTCTACACAAGGAAAAAAAAAGTCTAAAAATGGATTTCTAATGAGAGGATTTCAGTTACCACCA